TAAAGAGCATATAGAACTCTTGTCTGTAAAAAATAATTTGGTATTTTTTCGACAGCGTGATGGTCCTTGGATGCCTACACTAAGGCTGCTACACCAATGTGAGTTACAGTCTAAATTATGTTATGAAACTATTTTTCAACTTATTCAAAATTTTTAAGTGATTTAATGCTTTTTATTTTTGCATATAACATTTACATTGATCTAGAAAGGTTAATACTATTTAAAAAAATGTGCATATATATATATATATATATATATATATATATATATATATATATATATATATATATATATATATATATATATATATATATATAATATATATGTATATAAACTATATATATCAGGCTTGGTCGGGAAGCGGGAGCGATCAGTCTCGAATACTGACCACGGAAATTATATTTAGTTGCGAAAAACTGGCCAGGTTTTTTAGTCGTTTTGAGAACATTTAAGTTTATATACGAAACAAAAAATTTTTGTTTTACAGACATACATGGAAACATAAACTTGAATGTTCTCAAAACATCTTTGTGCGAAATAATAAAATAAATATTCGCGAACACTAAAAACCTGCCAAATTAACGAAGGAACTAATTCTATTAGTTCAAAAAGTATGCTGACTTAGCGAAATAAAGTTCTAGAGTATTCTGTTGAAATGTTTTAGAAATTGTTATATTCACGATTTGTAACGTTTTGAGATTTCTAGTTTTCTTGTTTTAAAAATATATATTATTTGTTTACAAAAATAAATATTTTAAATATATATTAAATTGTAAAAATTTTAAAAGTTTATTATAAATTATAGATTTTATTAGTATATTCTCATTTTTGATTTAAAAAGTATGTATTTTTTATGTAAATGTAATTTTGTGCATCCATTTGTTATTGTAATGTAATCTTTGAAAGCAATTTTTATGATTTAATTTGTAAACAAAGACTTACAAAAATAATTGCGTTTTCAATGAAGTTATAATCGTTATAGTTGATAAAACTAATTATGTAACAAACATATAAGAAGTTTCTAGTTACTAAACACAAACAACGCATACAAAGTAACTCGCGGATGAACAAGCACCGCGCCTGAGGCCACGACAGAACACAAATATATATAGCAAATAATTAGATATAAAGAAAAGTTTCTATATATTGGTTTACAAACTCTAATCATTTTCGTATCATTTTTGTATAATTGAAAAAATTAACTTTTTTATTTATAAAATAATTTAGCTTAAATAAAACTAAAACTTGCGAACTTTGCTAAATAAAGAGCATTTGTTTCTTTTTTAAACAATCGTAAGTTGTTACTTTATTTAAAAAACATCGCTTAATTTTATAAAAAAATTACAAAAGAGCGGTGTTTCGAAAATATTTGTTCTAAATGTAATTTATTTAGCTTTAAGTTTTTTTGCGTCTAAAGATATTTTATTTGCCTAATTAAATGCTTTTTGCAACTAAATATTATTTACGTGGTCAGCAATCGAGAGCGATCGCTCCCGCTTCCCGACCAAGCCTGATATATATATATTATATATATACTTTATATATATATATAAAGTCTCAAAATTTTTTGAGACTTGACTTTAATATATGGTCATCCAACAAAACTAACTGAACCTGATGACAAAATACCCTCTAACAGACAAAAATATATGTTAGAACTTGTCCATTTTTTTAATAACATTGTAGTGCACTTGCCATCAATCGAGTTTTATTGTAAAGTCCAGCTTTAAAGTAAAAATAATATAACAATCTATTGTAATATTATTTTCTCCTTAAAGCTGTATATATATATAAATATATATATATATATATATATATATATATATATATATATATATATATATATATATATATATATATATATATAAATATATATATATATATATATATATATATATATATATATATATATATATATATATATATATATATATATATATATATATATATATATATATATATATATATATATATATATATATTAGACTATAACAGCCTAAATGGCTGTTATAGTCTAATATATATATTTTTATATATTTTAGCCGTTTTCCTTAAAGCTGTATATATATATATATATATATATATATATATATATATATATATATATATATATATATATATATATAATATATATTAGACTATAACAGCCGTTTTTCATTAGCATTTTAGTTTGTTTTTAAAATCATTTACAGAAGTTGCATTTATAACATCTTGATCTAGGTTTTTCCAAGCTTCTACAACACGGTTGGTGAAGAAATTATGCCTAGAAAGTGAATTTCTTACATACTGTTTTCTTAATTTCTGATCATGCCCTCTTGTAGTATTAGTCGTTATAGCAGTTTATTTTATCTATATTGTTTTGAAATCTAAACATCTGAATTAGATTACCTCGTAACCTTCTATCAACCAATTTTTAAAGTTCCATATATTGTTACAAGCCGTCCCAGAAAAGGCATGCGGTTTTTCGTCTCGTATGACCATACTCAATTATATTATTTTAGAAAACGTGAACACGGCCATTTGCAAGTTTTATAATAATGCTGAAAAAGTTTCAAAAACAGAAAAAACAAAACTAACAAAATAAAGAAAGATTGAAATGGAAAAAAATAAAAACAAAGTAATAATTTAAATAATTTGTGTACTGTTTTTATCTTTGTTTCTTTAAAGTTACATTCAGCAACAAAATTAGATAAGGCGAAAAAAAAACAAAATAGTTTGAAGTCTAAAATAAAAAGAATGATTTTCCTTTTCTTAGTTTTTTTGTTAGAGGATTGCAAAAATAAAAATCGCAATGTGTTTGTAAAATTTATTTGTATAATTTTAATGTAACAGCAAGGGTTGAATTAAGCGAATGCAAAACGCAAAATCTGAAAAAATGTCTAGTATTCAAAATTTTAATTTATACAAATTTGTGTTCTTTGTTATTAAGGGGAGAATCAACTTAAATTTGTTAGCGAAAAAATAAAAAATAAAACAATAAACTTACGATTACAAAAGTAAGAACACTCTAGTCACTAACTAGAAAAAATTCAGATAAAAAAAAAAGTTTAAATCTTTTTAAGCTAACAGTTTAATAAAATTATTCAGCAATAGCAAAGTTGTCGATAAAATTGAACAAAAATACTTTCTTTTAGTTTTAGATTTTTAACTTAAATAATTGTTTTACGGGGGTTTGGTAGGTTTTAAAATTATTCCATAGGTTTAAAAATATTTATTAACTGTTAGACGTTTAAAGTATTTAAGAGTAATTTCGAGTAAACATTTTAAAAATTGGTAAGCGCAAATAAATAAAAAAAAAGGATTAATATTAAAACATATCCTTGAGGTCGCAATCGCGTCACAAAACGAGTTACCATCTTTGTAGGGGGAAAACATTGAACAAAATGCGTTATTAGTGCATTTTGTTTAATGTCTTAACCCGGCTTTAAAATTAAAACAATTGAACATTTAATAAAACATTGAACAAAACACGCTAATCACGCGTTTTGTTCAATGTTTTCCCCCTACAAAGATGGTAACTCGTTTTGTGACGCAATCGCGACCTCAAGGATTCTACTTGATTCAATAAAAAAGTACAGCTATTAAAATTTTAGTAAAAAGTAACTTGAAAAAAATTACTTAAATAATAACAATCACTTTTTTGTTAAAAGTTACTGAAACTTAACGAAGCGTGCTCAAGAACAACTGCTGAAAAATTGAACGTTTTTCAAATAATTTTTAAGAATAATTTTTTTGCTGAAATATGTCTTTTATACCTATAAGATTTTTATGCTAACATTTTATTTTATTTTATTTTACCAAAAATAAAATTCCTTGTAAACATTAAAAATCTATTCAAAACATTCGTTAAAGTTTTTTAGTAATACGAGTGATAGTACTTATCAACCGCTTGAAAATAAATAAAAATAAATAAATAAAAAAATATTATATAAAATCGCTAGTAAAAATATTAGCTATTGCACAGTTTTTAATCGTACAATATTAAAATTTCCAGTTTATTACTCGCTCACTTTTTAAAAAGAAAAAATAATTATTTGAAAAATTTTAAATTACATATTTGAGAAAAAAAAATTAAAAATTAGCAAATTTTTATAATCTTTTTCAAATGTTTAGTTATAATGTTTATTATTCGTTTAGTATAGACAAAACATGTCAGTGGTGGAAAACATAAACAAATGTTTTTACATTTTAACATTCCAAAACATTTTAAAATAATAACATTTCTACATTAATGATTTAAAGTAGTTTTGCGGTAATTAAGTAAATTGGTGCAGTTATTGTCGATAAATATGAAAAGCAAATAAAAAGAATATAATGACTTCAAAAATCATGTCATGCTTATGCGTTGCGCAGTTTTTATTCATCACAAGGCCTGTAGTAGTAGTGTCCCTTGTAGCGTATTTGACATGAAACCTTTAACAGCCATTGTAACCGAGGTATTGGCAAGAAAGAGTCGCAGCACTATAAGAAAACGAGAACCATATAGTATGCCAGTGTAGCTCGAGTGGATAAGGCGTCAAACTTCTGAACAAGGAACCAGAGGTTCAACTCCTACCAATGGCGGCTATTTAAAAAAAAAAATTTTTATTATTTTAAATTACAAAATACTTTTGAAGTTTTATAAAGATTATATACAAACATATGTAACGTAACAATATTATGCACTCACAAAAGAAAAGATTTTAAGAAAGCTAAAAAAAAAACATCACCGGGAGAAAAAAATCGTTGCGTATGTATGATGATTGAGAACTTATGTTATTATTGTGCTCAGGTAATTAGTCTTAATTAGCTGCGGATGGTCTAAAATAAAAGTTGTCTGAAACTTAATTAAGAAAAAACTATATTAAATAAATAAGAAAGTCCCACTACTCAAAAAGGTGCTGCTGTGGAGGCAAAAAAAACAACCCATAGCTAGAAAAAAATTTAAAACTTTCTTTTGATAATCAAAAGCTTTTTTAGCTACATTTATTTTTTTACTATAAATATATGCTGCTGCAGCTGTTTTTCAAAATGCCTTAATATGCTTATTACGTATTTCGAGAAAAACGCAATTAAAAAAAAAGTTATTTAAAATTAACTCTTTGTTAAACATTTTTTG